ATTAAACCTAAATTAAATTATTTCGTTACGTTAAATTAAATTATAATAAAAAATTTGAATTAAGGAAATTACAAAAAAATAAAACTTTTAAATAATTAATTTGATACTATTTTTTCAAAATTTTATAATATTTTCAACTTTATATCTTATTCAAAAATAAAAACATTATTGTTTTCTCAAAACAACATAAAACTGTATTATATTGACATAGATAAAGAACAAAATGAAACATTGAAATCAAGATGTATCTCGATGCATTGCATGAGTACCCTTCTAGTCTTGTATTTGACTATGTTTATCTGCAGTTAGTTACACGAATTCAAACATGAAGCTTTAATAAATTGTATTTACGCAAAATGTATTTGTAATATTGAATTTTAAGTAATATGCATCAATAAACAATACTTTATGCATAAAAAAATGGTTTTAATTGTTTTTGTCAAATGTTTTATAATATAATATAGATTATATTATTAAACGAAAAATAAATGGCTTCATTATTAAATCTAAATTAAATTATATCAAAAATTTGAATTAAAGAAATTACACAAAAAAACACAATAACTTTTAGGTATTTAATTTGATACTAAAGTCGATACATTTCTTTTCAAGATTTTATGATATCTTCAAATTTATATTTTATTCAAAAAATAAAAACATTATCGTTTTTTCAGTACCACATAAAATTGTATTATAACATCGACGAAGACAGAATAAAACGAAACATTAAAATCGAGATGTATCTTGCTAAATTGCAGGAGTACCTTTCTAGTATTATTAAATATTTTTATAATTTATTTGAAACTTTATAAACATCAATCAATAATATCTACGTATATTTTGGCCTTCCTCGAGTGATGTAACATCAACATGGCACATGTATAACAACATCATCATATCATGATGGCAGTATTCATGCTTGCCAAACATAACCTTAATTTATTTGTTTGTAAAGGGTTGTTTGTTTACCTTTTAATAGTTTTATTAAAAGGTAATCTTTGAATCGTTAAGAGATGAATTTTGTTTGACAAAAAAAAATTCATCTTAATGGTTCTAAAACCTTCTGAATAATTGTATCCTAAGTCTGTCTTAACTATTCAACGCCCTAATTTCTTTGTAAATAATTACCAAACAATTATATTTCATTTTGTACTATATCATAAGAGTCTCTTAATCATTTCGATCACTTAATCATTCTACACCAAACCATTCAACAACAACTAAAGAAGCCCTAACTCATACTAAAATGGAATTCACCCTTCTTTTTAATTCTCCTTGTTTTATTTTTCACAAATGCTTAAACACGTGTCATATATTTTTCATCATCGCATTGCTTTAAATAATAAAAATAACATTATCAGATATATTAAATTTTAAAATATTAATTAATCATGATAAGAAAATTAAAATATTATCGAAAAAGCATTTATTTTGGATGATGCAAAAAGAAATAATATTATTTAAATTGATGTTTAATAGTACTTTAAAATGTCTATTTTATCAATAAAAAATGCGATGCAAAGAAAGCGTATACCCCAGAAAGTGACGTGCACACGGCTGGTTTCTCGGTATTGATAACCACAATTTTCACGTTGGCCCCAAAACTTGTAAACCTTTATGCATTTGTCACAAAATCTTCAATACGACCAAAATGTAATTTATTATTTTGGTTTTTCCCCTAAATTAACAACATAAATAAGATTTGTTGGAAATCCCATTTTAAAAATCGTATTTTGCATTGAATTAAAGCAGTGTCGGTGAAGTCGGTGCATAATATAAATGTTTTAGACTCGTTTTTCTTTTTAAAATTTTCTATAATTAGTTGATTTATGGTATACATGTTCATGCAATTAATACACATAGTATATTTTTAGCAATGTATTAAAAACGAGATCTATTGCTATAATCGTCTGATATGTAATTACTATATACACGAAGAATTTTAATTTTCATGATTTATTTTAAAAACTATGATAAACAGACTTGTTTTTTTATTTATAATCAATGTGTCAAAATCAGATAGTAAATTCACAAAGAAAAAGAAAGTAATGGATATAGAGATATTTTTGTCTTTTGAAATTTTTTATTGTTTTAAAATTATTTAAAAGATAAAGTTATCAAAAAAGTAAGGATAAATATTTGGATTAATTAATAAGTATAAACTTATCAAGAATTGTATTTTTGATTAATTTAAATTAAATTGGATAATATAAAGGAATTAAAACCTAAATTAAATAATATAAAATTGTGTTTTTGGACGAAACTACTGCTTTTTATCCGTTATGCTATTATCCGGTGCGTAAATATCGAGTTGACTTTTAGTTACCCCTAACGGAATTCAACGTCCGTTATTCACGGCGTTTATTTTGTTTGTAAAACGTTAACTTAACCATTCCGTGTGTGTGTTTTTTGACCTCAAATCACACCCACAGTTGCATACACTGTCCTCCTCTCTCTAGCTTTCCTTGGCTTTTCTGTCTCCATCTCTCTCTAAAATAACGGCATATTCATCTCTCTAAAACATTTCGAGTTTTCTAAGAAGGCAGAATCCATTCTTCAAAAGCAAGAAAAAAAAAACCCACATTGAATCTTGAAATTTTTCTTCAACGATCCGAAGAAAAACACCCACATCGTTAACTTACGTAAACCATTAATCTTTCTCTCTCGCCGGAAAAAATGGTGGTGAATGTGATCAAATGGAGACCATGGCCCCCGCTTCTGTCAAAGAAATTCAAGGTGAAATTGGTGGTGAAGAAGATGGAGGGGGGAAGTTGTGATCCTGTGCATGCGGACCCAGAGAAGGATAATCATAGGGCTGTGGAAATCAGGTGGAAGGGACCCAAGATCACCTTGAGTTCTTTTAGGAGAACAGTGAAGAGGAATTTCACAAGGGAGGAGAAGGTTCTTGACCCAAACGGCGTCGTACAATGGGATGAAGAATTTCATACAATTTGTACCCTTTCCGGGTCTAAAGACAGTGCCTTTAATCCTTGGGAGATTGGTTTTACTATTTTGAATGTGAGTTCTTGATTTCCCCCTTTAATTATTCTTGTTTTAGGTTAAATATTACTTTATTCGTACTCCCTTTTTCATGCTTCATGATTTAATTTCAATTATATTACAAGGAAATTGCACCAAGAATTTCTGATGTAGTTTTTTTTCCCTTTCCAAAAAATTGAAAAAATTTTCACACTTTCTTGATGGGTTATCTTGTGTTTTCCTATTGTCACGCTGTTTATGCACGTATGCATACACATACGCTATATCTATATACATCTTCACACACACATACACATTTGGGGGTGTAGGACTAATTAGGGTTTGATTGTTCTTGTATATGATGTCGAAGCAAGTACAATTTGCTTTGCCCACAGTGATTCCATTGCATTTTTGTGAATGTTGTTTATTACCTGAAATTGGTCGCCACATTTTGACATTGAATCTGAACTGGGTCATTTTTCACATAAATTGCAACAAATTCACACTGGTTTTTGCATTTCTTTGACTAGAAAAGATGATATACAACTCTTTCTTGGATCAAATGGAGTGCTAAAAAGAACAAAGGAAATTCAGATTATACTCATTCGACCATTTTGATGATGTTGAGTGCCTTGGTAGTTATTTCAGTATTGGTACACGATGTCAAAAGCCCTAATTTAGCTCAAGAATGATTGGTCTGCTAGTGTCATTATGAAATTTGCTGTTATGATTGTGGAAATGTTAATGGATGAATAGATTTGCTGTTATGACGACTGTGATGTATCAACGGATGACGTAGATCATAAACTGTCACATTATACGTACCCTTTATTGTTGCATTGCCAATATTAGCAAATCCGTCCCCCTGGTGTTTGTGTGAAGGTTTAATGTATTAACTAGATGATCTCTTTTTAAAAGCAAGGGTATTTATTGCATATGCAAGTGCAACAAATTTAACCATAATAACTGAATCGGCCCTATGCTTCTTGCCGGAAGTTTATGTTTTGATGATAAGCAACATTTTTATATCTTTTTACAAAAAGGGCGACCTTGGTGCACCAAAGTTCGAGGTTTTTAGAGAGTTGGGAAGGGAATTTACATGTAGTCTAGTTGATTTTTTTCTTTCTAAAAGCATGCCATTGGTGGATCTAGGATCCTCCCTCTTACATTTTTATATCTTGTGGCCTTGTTGCATTTGAGACAGAGGTAAGGTCTGCACACATCTTACCGACTTAACCCTAGACATACATTCAGGTGGGATATACTGAGTTCGTTTGGTTTGGTTCACTAAAAGGGTGACCTTGGGACAAGAAGTCTTTATATTTAATTTTTTTCTAAATATTCTTTTTTACTAAAATCACGACCCCAATGCACCATGGCTTCTTGGTTTGTTAAGTGTTTGGAAGGGAAGTATTCGTACATGGTCATTCTCACGTATTTTTACTAAAGAACGACCCCCTGGTGCACCAAGCTTCTCACTCTACACGGGTTGGGAGGGAAATCTCTATACACACTCTTTTTTATATCTTTTTTACTTCAAGTATGATTCATGTGCACTTAAGGCTCAAGGTTATGCTAGGGTTGGAAAAGGAAGCCTTTGTAAGCAATCTTACAGATATCTTGTTTCTAAATCTCTATATTCAGTCTTTGTGGCATCTTTTGGTAAAAGTTTCACATGAATCTTTTTTAATGCAGGGATTAAACCCTGGACCGAAAAACAAGGTTCCCATAATTGGAACAGCGTCTTTGAATCTTGCTGACTTTGCTTCTTCTGCTGCTGAAGAAAAGGATCTCGAGCTCACCATTCCTCTCACCATTGCTTGCGGACCATCTGAGCCTCGCCCTTCTCTTCATGTATGTGCAGTTTATGTTTTAGCATTTGTGTACTGCTAGTCTCGTGCTATTTGTCATTACTCATTCGGTTCTGTCATAGATGCAATAATTTGTAGTTTTAGGATGTCTGATACCTAAATTAGGAAGTTTCAACATAAAAACCAACTTGCTAGTGTAATTAGATCATAAGATTTAATAAATGTAGTCGATATACACGTGGGTCCCACAAATCGGTGTTTGTTAAAGATTGAAACACTCCTAAAACAGATTAGAATCTCCCCTTCCACCACCAGTTCTTACGCGTATATATTGAAATGCTCTGCCTTTCTAGAAAATGAGATTTCTGTAGAACACATTAAAAGAAGAATCTTGTGGATCTAAATCGAGATCATCAATTTGTTTGTAAAGTTTATAATGGACAAATATGTAAATTTAACTTCAAAACCTTTTAGGAAAGAAAATGTTGCAGTTTTCATGGGTTCTTAATCTTGAGGTTTGTTATGCAGATACAGCTTAGTTTAATGGAGTTGAGTGCTGATCAAGAATCTGCAGAACCTTCGCAGAGTCAAAGTCAAACATCAGAAAGTTCTTCAGGAGAGAAAGACGAGCTTTCTGCACTCAAAGCCGGATTAAGAAAAGTTAGGATCTTTACAGAATACGTATCAATTAGGCGAGGAAAGAAAACTTTACGTGAGGATGATCATGACAGTAGGAGTGAGGAGGGCGATTTGTCCTACCGTTTTGACTCAGAATCACTTGATGAATCTGAAGAAGGTGAATCGAATGAAGGCAAAGAGGATGATGATTCTACTTTCAGGAAGTCATTTAGCTATGGAACGCTGGCATATGCAAATTGCACCGGAGGCTCTCTTTATGAAGACGGTGTTTACTACAGTAATCGTAAATCTGATGTGGGTTGCTCTCAAAATGAAGATTCAACAGCTTCTGTTTCTGAACCATATGTGATTCAGAATACCAAACGTAGCATCTTGCCATGGAAGAAGCGTAAACTGAACTTGAGATCACCAAAAACTAAGGGCGAACCACTCTTAAAGAAAGCATATGCTGAAGAAGGTGGCGATGACATCGACTTTGACCGGCGCCAGCTCAGCTCCGATGTGTCTCTTGGGGTAAATTGGTTTAGAACTTTTCTATGTCATATTTGAAACCTTTAGCTCATATTTTTTTCTCTGTTTTAGAAGTACAGGGATGAGCTGTGACCGAAAGGTCACCAGCTCTGCGTAAGTGTTCTAATCATCGGCTCAAAGCTGAGGAACCCTGGTGCACCAGGATTGCACTTTGGTTAGAAATGGGATCATGTGAGATGCTGACTACTGAATTGCTGACAGTGGCATAAGCTGAATGAAGACTCGTATGCGAATCGATCATCGATATCTGAGTTTGGGGATGACAGTTTTGCTGTTGGAAACTGGGAACAGACGGATATTGTTAGCCGTGACAAGCACATGAAACTTCAGACGCAAGTTTTCTTTGCTTCAATCGATCAGCGGAGTGAAAGAGCAGCTGGAGAGAGTGCTTGCACTGCCCTCGTGGCAGTGATCGCTGATTGGTTCCAAAACAACCGTGATCTCATGCCGATTAAGTCCCAACTTGACTCTCTCATTCGAGAAGGCTCGTTAGAGTGGCGGAACCTCTGCGAAAACGAAACTTACAGGGTCCGGTTTCCTGACAAACACTTTGATCTTGAAACTGTCCTTGAAGCCAATCTACGCCCTCTGTCTGTCGATCCAGGAAAATCTTTTATCGGGTTTTTCCATCCCGAAGAAATCGAAGAGGGTAGTTTCGACTTTTTGCATGGTGCGATGTCTTTCGATACTATGTGGGACGAGATCAGTCGTGAGTTGGAGCTTCCTAGCAAGGACGAACCACGAATTTACATAGTGAGCTGGAACGATCACTTCTTTGTCTTGAAAGTCGACTCTGAAGCTTATTATATCATCGACACTTTGGGAGAGAGGCTCTTTGAGGGATGCAATCAAGCGTATATCTTGAAATTTGACCGAACCACCACTATTTACGAACTTCTTGACTCTGATCCCACTGAACCAGCAGCCGGTTCTGATGGTTCAACCAGAAAGTCAACTACAGAAACCCCGGAAGCGGTCAAGAATCTGAATGAAAATGAAGTTATTTGTGAAGGAAAAGAATCTTGCAAGGAGTATATCAAAAGCTTCTTGGCAGCCATTCCTATCAGAGAACTGCAAGCAGATATGAAGAAAGGTTTACTTTCATCGACACCGCTCCATCACAGGCTACAGATTGAGTTTCACTACACTCGGTTACAACCACCACCTGCCGCCGCCAACCCTGACCCTGACCCTGTCCCTGTCCCTGTCCCAGCCACAGCCATCTCAGCACCGGCAGCCGATGACTCAGCAAATCCGGCTGCTACATAGGATAGTTTCACAAAGGGCAATGTGAGTTTTAGGTTTAAAGTTGAAACTAGCTTTGTTTTTACAAGTTCTTGTTTTTCTTGTCTGTGTTCATAGTTTTTGTGTTGAGAATCTTGGAATGGAAAGGGAAAGGGAATCCCAAGTGTGTAGTCTCTGTTTCCATTGGTGCAAATGAAGATGTTGACCTTTCTTGGTCAACTTTTTTTAGTTTAAATGTGTGATTTGATTCCTATTGTCTTAGCTTGAACCCACTTTCTGATTCCAATTCCCAAGTTAAGGGTGATTGGTGATTGAGGATACTGAGTTTCTGCTAGATTCACAATTTATTTCATAGGCGCAGATAAAGATATCGAATTTTTCGTGAAGATTTTCTATAAAATGTATGGGTTGATTCCAACTGTCGTTGATTGTGAACCCACTTTCTGATTCCAATTCCAAGTTAAGGGCAATTGGTGCCTTTTAGGATTCTGCAATGTGATGATTGTTGTAGATAACTACTACATGTGGGCATTTGATGTTTTTGGTCATGATGTTATCAAGTCGGAATCTTGTACGTCACTTATTTGGAAACAATTCGATCTTGTTAGAAAAGCTGGTTTCCTTCATGTCCGTTAATACAATCAATCGAATCTTCAAGAAGTCTTGAATCAAACTCTTTTTAAATCGTATTGATCGAAGTTATCAGACACGTTTAGTTAAACGAACTTTTCTAAATCAAACCAATAATGATCCAAATTGAGCCATACCCACCTTTATGTGATTGATGTTGAGTTTTTGGGCAGCTTTTTTGTGTTCCAAAATGTATGGTCTGATTCCAATTGTCTTGATTTGAATCCACTTTCTGGTTCTAATTTCCAAGTTGACCCAATTGGCGTTTCATTCTTTTGGTTCCCATGTGATTCAATTGTAAACCCTTCACCTTTTTTAGTGTCGACAAAGACTTTTTTTTTTTTCATTTACCAAAAGACTTTACACGCATTGAAAGTTGTACTTTTGGTTTGTTTGTTTATGGTGTGTTTGGTGTCCAAATAAGACAAAGCAAAACATGACAAGATAAAATAATTGTTCAACGTTTGGTAAGATAAAACTGGACAGAACAGTTTAAGTAAAATGATCAATTTACCTCTGATGATTTGTTTATTTTAATTAATTTATGTAATTTATTAAATTATAATAGAACAATTATTTTTTATAACAAAATACATTATTTGAAGTTTTCGTCAAAACAATTAAAATGACACCAAATAAAAAGTTTATGTAGTTTTCTATTTTTATTTTTATCTCTTTTCTACATTATTATTATTATTATTATTATTATTATTATTATTATTATTATTATTATTATTATTATTATTATTATTATTATTATTATTATTATTATTATNTTATTATTATTATTATTATTATATAATAAATTACATAAATTAATAAAAATAATATTTTGAGGACAGTAAAATAAAAGTTTAAGAAACATAAAGTACAATAAATAAAATATAAAAAATAGACTTATTTGATGTTTTAGAAGAGAATTAAGTATTATTTTAAGGTTATATTGGTAAAATATAAGTATGTTGCACCATGTTCCATGGGGTAAGGGTGGAACAAGCCTGTTCCACTTTGTTACACTTTGTTCCACATAAAATTCATGTCAAATATGGGACAGTGATCCTTGTCCTATTCTGTCTTATCTCTTTCCAGTGTACCAAACGCACCCTTAGCAAAAAAAAATTCACTTCATTTGATGCTACTTTATTTTCAGTATTACCAATTATTCAAACCAGTCTTACATAAAAGTTGCCTTGATTTTTGTTAGATAGTATGATCGGGTTCGATTCCAGGGGAGGACGAGTTGTCTTTTCCGGTGCTTGTTTATAAGGTATGGCAAGTAGGGTTCACAAAATGTGGACCACGGGGCCATGAAGTTCCCGCCATTAAACTTTTTATTATTATTATTATAATAAGTTATTAAAATATATACTTATGCTTATTTTATAATTTAACTACGAATAATGATTTACCATCATATTCAAGCAATGTTTAAATAAATTTAGTATGTGATTTGAGTATTGTTCCATAGTAGAATTGACATGGTACAACTTGTGATGCACTAAAAGTGGTGCTAGTCTTGCTTAATATGCCAATTAGCATCCAATGCATGGTACAATTTTTATTGCACAAGGTACAAGTTATGGAGAAAAACCAACCCACAAATAATACAAATTAAATACTTCCAAGAGAATTGTAAAATATTATATTCTTTTTCACATGATAACAATTTTGAATTCTAGTTTGACTTTTTCTCTCTTTTTCATTTTATGTAAGACTTGGTCAAACATTTATGAACATGCATGATTCACAACCCACCTCTTTAAGGTATCTTTTATTTCTTATATATTCAGGTATTTAAATAAATATATAATTAAAATAAAAAAATATAAGAACGGACAAATCATATATATTTTATATGCAATTAAGGAGCATAATTAGCGTAAGAGGTATGTGAGCAACTTGGCCCACAACCTAAGCCAGTACAAATTTATAAACCAATTTTCAAGTGTTATTTCATATATGAACCAAAATGTGTGAAAATGCAGTATTTATACAATGTTGTTTCATATATAAAATGTTTACGATAGTTTTGTGCGTGAAAGAAGCAGTAATGAACGTTTCACATATGAAACAAAACGTGTGAAAATACAGTGTTTATATAGTGTTGTTTCACATGTGAAACATTCATGACTATTTTGTGTGTAAAAAAGAACAGTCATGAGTGTTTTACATATGAAATAACACTATATAAACACTGTATATATGAAATAACATATGAAAATTGGTTAGGAAGTTTGTACAAATTAATATGTTTGTAAAAGAATGATATATATATATATATATATATATATATATATATTAGTTATATACACACAATATATTATATGTATACATGATAATCTCAAGATAAAAGTAGAATTAAAAAAAAAAGAATAAATCAAATATTTAAATTTATAGTTTTAGATTTTAGCACAGATGATTATTCATTGCGTTTATATAAAAGTTTTGTCAAGGAATTTTGCATCTAAATTAATAATATGACAAATCTTATTTCAGATCTTATAATTGACTCAACATGATACCCTCAATGATTAACGTAATTTTAGGAGTTTTAGACATTTCTTAAGACGATGGGCATTTTTCTGTGATCTATCATATGAAATTGTAGGATCTATTATAAATCTTATACTTTTTCGACAGATAGTTAAAACAATGATTTTATCATTCATATTGTCTATTCAACACATAAAACAAACAACTACTGAGTACTGACAACTTTTCAACATATGCGTGTGTACGTGCATGTTTTGGTGAGAGAACAAACAAACCCGTATTTGATATGCATTATGATAAAAATACATAAATGCTTTATATTAAACAGATACATAAAATGTCTTGTGTAAAAATAATGTTACATATCAAAAACAATATTATAACAATTATTAATAAATACATATTGATTTTTAACAATACGTTGACCGATCAAAGTCGTGAAGTTTTTTTCATTGCATAATCGAACACAAAAAGACGTTACCTGGTGAGTTGGTGTTGGTGATGAACTGATGGGTAATTTACTAGGCCTTGGGTCAGGCCCATTGGTTTTCTTTTAATGGGCCAAGCTTGGGCCTCCAACATATATCATCTCCTCTCTTTGACCTATTAGTGATGGCCAAACCAGCCCGGCCCGACCTGGGACCACAGGAGGACCGGAACAGGGACCAAACCGGCCCGGCCACATCAAATACAATTAGTGATGGCCAAACCGGCCCGGCCTGGCCCAGGACCGAGACTGACCGAGACCGGTAAGGACCGGTTATGGGACCGGCGGTTACAACCGGTTAGGCTTTTCGTCCGATTTCTAGGACTGGGATCGACCGGGACCAGTTAAGGCTAGACCGGTTACCGCCGGTTATGAAGATGATAGGGCCCAACTGGGACCGGCCTGAGACCGGTTTTTGGTCCTCACTAAATACAATAGTAGCATACAGAGAGGCCAAATATGGGTCCCAGTGGGTTGGGCCTAAATCAGTCCTGATCTCAAACACTATTCCCGTAATCGGTTATGATCCCGGTCCGACCAAAAACCCAAGGCCCAGTTAAGGGTATTTTGTAGCCGGTTATGAGAACCAGTCTCGGTCCCCGACCGGGCCTAAATCGGTCCTATGTATTTTTTTCTAAATTCGATTTTTTACATAATTTTCTTTTCGAAATTTTGAAAAAAAAAATACAAAAGTATTATCCTAATACACTTGAAAATATGTAATTGATTCAATTAAATACACTTAAAAAACGTTTTATTTTTCCGAGAATACGAGTTGAAATCACGAATTATAGCAAGAATTGTGAATGTTTGTGAGTTGGTATCTTCCCGCATACACATTATGAACTATATATACTGAACAGAGGGTCAATGGGACAAAAAAGGGTCGAAAATAGGGGGAAACTTTCATATGGTTGTCGGGTATCGGTTATAAAACGGTAATATTTTGAAACCGGGCCGATGCGGGACCAAACCTATAACTGGTCCCAAACCGGTCCTGCATCAGCAAGGGCGGATGGCTTAAGGGGCACAGGGGGCATTTGCATCTCCATCCTACAATAGATTAAAATTTTAATTATATAATAATTGAAATTTTACCCCCCCCCCCCTCTACATAATCATCATTAAAACAATATACATCAAGTCTAGCAAATGTTTTATTTAAATAATAACTTGATCTCTTCATTGTTTGTGAAGCTAAATATTGTTTATTTTTCATTTTGATTAGGCTAAAAATTGTTGGCTTCTATAGTTAAAGCTAAATATTTTATTGTGAAACAATTGTTAAGGAGATTTAGGGGTCGTTTACTAAACGTTTACCCGGTGAGTACTTACTGGGCAATTTTCCTTACTAGCTGAACATGGCAAGGGGCAAAAATCTTACCCGGTAATATCGATGATAAGAATAGAGAGTTTTACACGGTAAGTGAGGGTGACGACTCTTAAGGTAAGCGCTTACCGGATAAGCATTTAGGTAAATGCCCCCTTAGAGTTTTAAAATGATAATTTATACTTAAATAAATACCTTAAATATTATGATTACAAAATATATTGAAATGAAGTTTTGATGATATAACGATCAAACAAAGTCTTCGTAATTATAAAATTAATAAAATATTAATAACAAGCGCGATAAAAAGTAATTTGTCGATTAAATAAACATTTGTTACTGCATGGCTTAGATGAAAATACAAGAGAGATATAATCGGACTCCATGACATAAGTTTTTAGAGTAAATTACACTGGTATTACTATTTTTTGGTTAATACTTTGAATGTTCAAGTTTTTGGAGTAAATTATATAATATATTAATTATATATAAATAATATTTAAGTTGGTATTACTAATTTTCCGTTAATACTTTGAATGTTTCGAGTTTTAATCTTACATTAATCAAACTTGTTTCTAAAATTTAATAGTCTAAAAACGAATCATTTGGATTTATAAATTTTTACAATATTATAGCATCTCCAACATATTTTCCAAGGAGAATTAAAACTCTAATAAAATGTTATTTCTCTCTCATAAACCATTAATATCAATGATTCCTATCGGTGTGAATATGATAAAAGAATGTTTCTTTCTCATTATAAACATTTTTGGTTTACACTCTCTCATGTTTTCTCCATTTTGGAGAGTTTTGGAAAGGTTGTTGGAGCAAAAATATATCTAAAATCTTTATTTTCTCAATTTTGAAAAATCTATTGAAGATGCTTTTAATTCGGCCCCCGGACTACAACAGTCATGTTCCGCCCCTATGCGTCATGCCGGTCCGGACCCATTTGGCCATCTCTAGTAGCATACGACGATATACAAAGAACACATGAAGTATAAGACCCCAAATGATCGGTAATCGTTCGGATCATACATTCTGAAAACGAACCCGAAACAGAATTTTGCTAGCGGGGGTTTAATTGTTTATAACATTATGTACGATTGAGCAATAAAATGCTTATGATTATCTAAAATACTTAAATTCGGAGCCTCAATATATAAGTTGAACACGATTTGGTCAAAGTCAAAGTTGGGAGGGCATGGTTAAGCGAGTTAAAAACTTTACTTAGATCTCGTTTACCTTTTTAAGTCACATTAGCTTACCGGATGAATACAGTAAAGATCAAGATCCTTGTTAAAAGCGTAGGCAAGAATCGAAAGTCTTACCTGATAAGTGAAGGAGAGGGCTTTTATCATGGTTAACACTTACCGAGTAAATTGTTGCATACGATACCTTTTGGTGGACTAAAATCTTGCCCGATAAATAAGTGGGACTGTTAAATTTTATCAATAAACGCATTTGTTAAACGGCCCATTAGCAGGGACGGACCTATAGTGGTGCACACGGTAACACGTGCCACCGTATTATTCCTCCGTCGAAAGAAAAAAAAATTAGGTTCATGAAAGGTGCAATCTATCAATTTGTTGTGTACCACCATATGTATTTTGAAACTACAATGAGAACAAATTTAATTTGGTAGAGTTGGTTTGCAAGGCTTTTGTTCTACTCTTGACCCAAGTTCGAATTAAAGCATCAAAACTACGTGTATCACTGGCAGTTCCCTGGAAATTTCTGCACTTTTTGCTCTGATAGGCTCGCTTCTTCAAGCTCCGCCCCTTAATGAAGCCAAGAAAGATGCCCGCTTCGGCACAGGGATCCTATGTTTTCTTTATTACTTACCGAGTAAGACTCTTCATCTTTATCATTGCTCTTACCAAGTAAGATTTTTGACCATTTCATTTGGTAAGAAACATTACCTAATAAGCACTTACCGGATAAGCGTTTAGTAAACGGCCCCTTAGTAAACACAAGGAGGTTCAATGGTGGAGTTTGACAATGGTTGGTGGTAGGCGTTAGTCGGGAAAACCATATTAGATTAGATCAGGTGGTGAGAACGACCAAAACAAACTAAAAATTGGGTTTAGTCGAAGTACGTTATTTTTTTTTGAAAAATGTGTTAAAAGGAAAACCAATGCATCTAAATGGTGTAAAAATTTACAAGATCTACGGTACATTGTAAACAATAAAAATTTGTGAATCTATAGTATCAAAGTCGAGTCAGCAGCTAGTAAACAGTCCTTAACTGAGTCGAACTAAGCCAACAAAATTAGAATAAATCAATCAATCCCGTCTCCTGGCAAGTGGGACCACCTCAGCCAAAGGGGTCGAGAGTGGTGTCAGCATCGGAGAGGTCCGACAATTGGGACACGTCGGGTTTAACCGCAACCACGGGTCAACACACTTGACGTGAAAAAGGTGGCCACAATCCGGCAGTTGTCGAAGCATATCGCTTCCCTTGTAATCCGCCAAACAAATAGAACAACACGTCGAAGACCCCGAATCCCTTTTGTTCATCTTTGCATCTTTGTAGAGCACGGTCGGGTAGCTCAAAAGCGTCTCTTCATCAAGCCCCACATCAACCACGCAATGAGTCGAGTCCGCTTGATTCAGGGCTTGACCCAAACTATTCCTTTGGGCCCGGATACGCACAGTTGATGTTGACGGTGACGATTCCGTGGTTCGATGACAAAAGTAGGAAGCGAGTATGATGGTGGTAATAAGTAAAAGGATCCCAACCGAGATCCCGATGCCATATCCGAGGCCGCTGATGTTTTGTGAGCCGAGAAAGCCACCGGAGTTGGGATCGGGTCCCATCGTGTTGTTCATGTTCTTGTACTTTGAGAAGATGGTACCGAAGAGGAGGAAGATGAGAATGAGCCGAAACGGTGGTTTTGCCAGCCATTTTTGTGGGGTGTAAAATGGGAGAAATGGCAATTTGGTGGGGTTAATTTTATATAAAATATTATATTTTGTATTAAAAAGTCAACTGCAACGTAAAGAGGGGATCAAATTGAAAAAAAGAAATGAATAATGGGGATTAAGTGTCATTTTTCAAAGTCAACGGTTTTATTTGTTAAATAATTACGTACATCATTCAAATACTTCACATATACGTTGTAATGTATTCATTACACACAGATACACGACGTCTATTTTGTTTGTTTAATAAAAATTTAAAATGTATTTTGATAATTAAAAAACCAAAATGAAAAGCACAATTATTATACATTATTATCTGAATTTTGATTATTAATTATTATCTGAATTTTGATTATTAATTATTAAATATGTTAATGAATTTTAATAAATATTTAAAATTGTAATTTAAAATAAGAATTCGTTAGAATTAATGCGTTTAAATTTGAAATGATGGCGTGGGTATGGACGTGTGGCTGCATGGTGGAAATGCACGTTGTTAGCATCGTGAAAGATTCAAGTGGTATTTATATATTTCAATAATAATATAAAATAAAATCAATTTGTATTAAATACTTTTTTTTTAAGGATGTCCGGGCCAAAGCCCGACTAATCTCCGGCAATTTTGGAGGCTAAACATGGTCCCACTTAAATGTCGCCAATATTCCCCTCCCAGGGCTCGAACTCGGGTTCATGACTATGTCATGCACAAATCTTTACCACTAGGCTGGAAGATCTTTGACTTAAATACTTATATAAAATAAATATGTAGGGCTTGTTTGATACCAGTTTAATGAGACTAACAACTTATCAAGATGATAGTCATACATAATTATTTGATAATAGCTTTATATATATAAATGGTTTATTCAGTAAACTTATAAGAAATATGTAAAAAATCAGGTTTTCTTCAAACATGATTGTCTTAGTTAAAAAACAAGCTCATTTCATCTGTAAAAAACTCTTTTGAGTGGATGAATCTAAGCAAAGATTCCATATTGTCATTTTCATCCATCAATTGTTTTGGTGAGGGGTTGGTTTTTAGGTGGTTGACTCTATTTTGATAGCAACCTTTTTTTATAATTTAGATGAAGATCCAGATAACATAAATACTAATACTTTAATTATAAAGATGCAATCGAGGTGGATGTTTAATTTTTTTTTTAAAAAGTTGTATCAAATTAACTCCATAATATAAAATAAAAATTACACATTGTCTTTTTATCTTTTAGGATCAGTTACATCTTCTTTCATGATACTGACAAATGCTCTTTATTTTTATGACACAAATGAGCGAAACATTCAAAAATTCATCGCCAAACTAATTAACGAAAACAAAAACAGATCAACCCAAAATACGAACAAATTAATGCTAAATATAAATTTTAATAGAAAGAGAAATTATTACTTTAATATTCTCCACCAATAAGAGGTATTTATAATAAATAATTAGAAGAGAAAAATAATATTCTATTAAATATATTGAATATTTTAATAATATAATTAATGTTAGAATTAATAAAATAAGTAGTTCTTTTTAAAGATTTTGATTTTTAATACTCAATTTTAGAAAGAAAAAAAAACTGTGAAGATGCTCTTATCCTTCTTACAAATAGATTGGGTTTCCTAAGGGCTAGTGGCCCAATAAAGTCATGACTTAAAGAATGAAGGTATGTAAACTCAGCCATGACAGGGCGAGAAACCTATCGCGGGTCAAGCCAGTTTCAAATTGGTCCCTACAAAACCTGGTCGGTTGGTCCTAATTCCATTTCTGGCCGAAAATCCTTAGACTGATCCTAGACCTCACAATCGAGACAGTTTTAAAAAAAAAATCATTTTATGAATACAGCTTTCTTACAAAAAAAATGTTATACATGTTTTTACAATTATGATTTTTGAAATTGAACATTGAAATTCTCCTCAAAAATAAGCTTTAGTTGAAAGATCTTAAAAAAAACCTTTGAAATAGTTGAACATTCGAGGTTAAATTTTAGCGGATGAAAATCCATTCACAGTTTCATTTCTTATCTTAAATTCCTAAATACAATTACCACATAAACTCAAATCCTCAACTAGTTACAATAGCAAATAGGAATCGAACAACACCTTCTTGGCTAGTGGATGGGAGCTTCTGACTCGCATTGTTATGGTAGCAGAATGATCTAAGTATCTTTTACAGTACACATATCAAAAGGGTTGTCCTGTCTTCTTTGAATTTTCCAAACCCAATGTGTCGTCCCAATGTCATCTTATAGGCAAAACTTGCAACAGGCAACTATCTGCGACCTAAAAGACATGTTGTTACCTTACTTCCAATCCCATTCTGGTGCATGCCTAATGTGAGTTTTGTGCCTTAAATCTGACCGTTTTGACCAACTTCTTCTATGCCATGCAAGTTGTGCTCTACTCCAATCGCATTGAGAGGGTTGCTTAGAAGTTTTCAAATTTCGTTCAAAATTGGCAAGTCCCGTATATGCGTCCTCTATCGCATAGCGCAGAATTACATAGACTATTTTGTTTTGACTTCCTAATGCAAAGTCAATTTAAGTTTGAAAAACGTTTCCGAATTTTTTTGTCATGTCGAATCGAACCGAGAACTGATTTTAGGAAAGATTAAATTGAAAAATGAAATAAATCACAATAAATTTTGTAATTTATCTTATTATAACTTAATAAATTACATATATTAATGAAGATATATAAACAACTCATTATGGGCAAATTGATCATTTTATCTGTTTTGTTATGTCCAGTTTTGTTTTATCAAACGTTAAACAATTGTTCTGTCTTTTCATTTCCGAATACAAAACACATTGTAACCGATATGGGCCCAATAGTTACATCTATGGAAGGAAAACATGGACGCCATAAATTTAAAAGGTTATTGTTCTAAGGGTGATGATCGAGCCCAAATTGGTCATTGCTTGGACATGTTCTTAACTCGTTATGACAAAAAAAAAAAAAAAAAGGAACCATCGTAGGCATTAAGTAGTCAATGAGGTTCGTGTTTGACGTTTTTGATCAGTCTTTCTCTTGAGGTGGGATTTGATTCAACTAATTGGGTTTTTTATACATTTTTACGATTCAAATCAACCCTTCCCAATGGTAATAAAAGTATATGTTCATGATGATTCTTGTTTTAATATATCTCAACAAGTGTGAACAATTGTTTGTTTTTTGGAAACTTTTATGAAATTCTATAAGTGTATTTTTGTTATTATAATATTATAAATAAAATGCATTATTACCAAAACAATGGATATACGCAACAATTTTTAATGATTTTTATAGGACGAAATTGCAATTATAGTTATTAGAGTCGGCCAATTGGATATATTAAAATATTTCTCACTAAAAATAACAATAATTAATTTATAATGAATATAAATACGGACACGGTTATCAAAATGGGCTAATTTCATGTAATCATGAAACATGTGGTTGACTTTGACTTTATCATAATATAGTTGACTTCATTACAAATGCTTAGATTTAGGTTATCTTTAATAAATTAGTTGATAGTTAATAAATTATATTTGATAAAATTAGTTGTTAAGAAAGCAAAATAACCAAAAAAGAGGATTTTAAAAAACTAATCAATTATAATAT